CGTTTTGCTCATCCTCTACAAACCTTTTTTTTTGCTCAAGTGCCAAAAATTTGCATCGCAAAACCACTACAATTACTAAAGTAACGCCACTTCTCAGATAACACCACCACCTACATCATTACAATCGTCTCAACCGAAAAAAAAATAGTATTACTACTACTACTAAAATAATAATAATAACATTTCCCTGTCGTATTGTCGTTATTTCATTAAATCTTCCCGTTATCATCCTGTTAACTCCGAAGATTTCCCAAGAGAGAAGGAAAACCGTGATAACTCCTCTGGGCTCCGAACAGTGTGGCTCAGGCAAGAAGCGAGAAGCGGGAGATAAATAAACATCTCCATAAAATATAATTTAGGGAATTAAACAAATAGGGAAAAAAAATTAAGTCAGAAACGAAATTTTTCTTTGCTGAGAAGTTTAATTTTGAAATTCCATAGTGGCAATGATTATAGTATAATAATAATATGAATAATAATGATAATAACAAAAACAACAACAGCAACAAAAACAATTGTATTTTGTCTTTCAGGTATAGATATCCTGACACATCTGGAGGAATGTCAGTGGGTGACTTACTTGGAATGATTAATTCGGGCTCGAGACTCAAGTAGATCTGTTAATATAAAAAAATAGATAAAAGCAATAAACAATGAATTTGTGTTTGCGTGCTATCTCTCTCTCTCTCTCTCTCTCTCTCTCTCTCTCTCTCTCTCTCTGTGTGTGTGTGTGAGTGAGAGTGTTTTGTGGAAAACGTGGAAAGGATTCCTAAGTCAGAAAAGGAAAACCTTGGAAAAGGAAAACTGTGCTGGTGAACTTATATACGCAATAATTTATCATATATACACGCGCGCGCACGCACATGTACACACACAGTGAGATACAGATAGAAACACGCACTAAGACACAAAAACACACAAAGTGCGCTAAATACAAAGGAGTATTGATATTAACTTAGTACGGCACATGGCCAGACTCGGGGAAAATCAGATAAGGAAGAGGGGGTTGCGCCAAACTTCTAATTGGAGGGAGTCGACTAAAACAGAATATCAGTATTTCGAAATCTTGGAATTATCTCAGCTCGAACACCAATATTGGAGGAATCTAATAAATCGGCTTACAGGCGTTAAGCTTTTTTGCATGTTTCATTTCAGATTTGGGGATCAGTGTTCGATCTTTGGTGAAATCCAAAATTTCAAATGCAAATTTCTAAGACAGTTAAGTTTGCCATATTTAGATGAGTGGCTTTTCATGCTTTTGCTTGCTTTTCATTGGATCCAAAATATTTTCAAGATTTTATTTACAAAATACACACAGACACGCACTCGCACAGGAGCACAAACACTCACATACATACACAGATACATACATATATATATATATATATATATATATATATATATATATATATATATATATATATATATATATATATATATTTGTGTGTGTAACAAAAGTGTATAAAAGGTTTCCTTGTGACGAAACGTGAAACTAGAAAACGCTTCTATTTTGTCATACATTTTTCTCAATATTATCCTTGATATAAAAAAATATATATACATACACACGAATATATATATATATATATATATATATATATATATATATATATATATGTGTGTGTGTGTGTGTGTGTGTGTGTGTGTGTGTGTGTGTGTGTATGTATTACTCCTATATATCTATATACATATATATAAATGTAAATACACGCACTGATACACATATATATACATATATATATATTATATATAATATATATAAATATATATATATAAAATATTTATACACATATATATACATATATATATATATTATATATAATATATATACAAATATATATATATAAATATTTATTATATATATCTTATATTATTATTATTTAAAATATTTTTCATGGCTTTTTATTTTTAAATAATAATATTATATTATAATGATCTACTTGATATCGAGCGCTTTAAAAAATAAATGCTGTTGACTGTTAATCTCACTGTTTTTTCTCTTTATCTATCTATCTATCTATCTATCTATCTATATATATATATATATATATATATATATATATATATATATATATATAGTGTGTGCGTGTCTGTGTATGTGAGCGTGTATATTGTGTGTATATATATAGATATATATATATATATATATTTATATATATATATATACACACATACATATATATGTCTGCATATGTGTGTGTATGTATGTGAGCGTGTACATTGTATATATATATATATGTGTGTATGTCTGTGTGCGTATGCGCGTGTGTGTCTGCGTGCGTGAAAAATTGTCAGCTTGAACCATTTCTCAAGACATGTATTTCTGTAATCTAATATTTGAATGTTTTCAGATAATTTGATCAAAAGAGTATATTTTCAATACTTCCTCCTACGTGTATATATTTTGTTGTCTATTTTAGCCTGGAACATTTTTATTTTTATTTTTAATTTTTTACATCCTAAAATCCAGTGACTTTATAAAAATGATAACATTTCTCTCTCTCTCTCTCACTCACTCTCTCTCTCTCTCTCTCTCTCTCTCTCTGTATATATATATATATATATATATATATATATATAGATAGATAGATAGATAGATAGATAGATAGATATACTCGCGTATATTGCGATTTTTGAAGACTGAATTTATGAAGCTAATTTTAAGGAGGTCGCATAACATAGAAGAAGATATAGCGTATATACTGCTGGCCCTTGATACGCCGTTGACTAAATTATATATCCATTTACACTGTAGTTAAAAAGTACAGCTTTATTTAAAATAAACATGGTCACTTGGTTTACTTAACTGTACCTAACTGTAATGCATGCAATATTCACATATCATATTATATCACATATCGTATTATGAAATACATTATTATACAATCATAGCGAATGTGCATCTTTTCCATTGTTTACGTTTATAACATGTTAAGCTGTTTCTCGTCCAGTTTTTATGACTGTAAGCGAGTCTTGAGACTTACTAACGATACTTTATCATTCTCTTTTACTATTTTAACTTATTTAACTAGTAGATGGGATAATGAGTTAGTGGAAAAGAAGCCAGAGATCGCTGTTCAAGCTGAGGTTGATACAAGATTTCTAGATAATGATGTTCTTTTTTGTCGACTCACTCTAATTGGAATATTGGGGTAGCAAACTTTTTATCAGATTTTCCCGAGTCTATCGTAATTAAGTCTCTCAAAAAAGGAACTGACATAATACACGAGATGCATAATGAAATAGTTTGTTATAAGTGATAATTGGGGGTCCCACAAAACGCGAGATCGCGCGTTACACGTGTATACACGATATATTGGCCGAAACTAGTCGTGGATTCTAAATGAAATAATACTAATAATACTAAAATCGAAAGAATATTAAATGTACAGCCCAGTGTGTCTAAAGATTTAAATATTTTATATATATATATATATATATATATATATATATATATATATATATATATATATATATATATATATATATATATATATATATATATATATATATATATATATATATATATATATATATATATATATATATATATATATATATATATATATATATATATGTTTTTGGATTTTCAGGATGTTATAGTTATTCATCCATCTTACTCTAGTTTTAAATGACATCTATTCATTAGCAACTAGGTTTCGACCAGATTAGTAACAAGGACTTATGAGACCATCTTACTCACCATTTTACCACAGCGAGGCTTCCTTTAAATTCACTATAGTTTATATTAAGAATAGTCTGGCTCAAGGTTACGCTAGTGAAAAAAATTAGTAATACTGGAAAATATCATGCCACCAAGATTTTCTTTCAGGTGCTACAGGAAATGCCTTTTTCTAGATTTTATAGAAATTAATTTTGGTTTAGTGACAGTTGTCATTTCTTAATTAAAATGATAAATGTTTACAGACTTTACAATTAATCTAAATTCACTCTATCTACTTACAAAATCAAATCAATACTCTGTGTGTGTGTGACTGAATTCTTGTCCAGCTATGGAAACTGTGACTGTGTTTCTGTAATCGTGAATAGCGAGCGCACGAACCCAAAATGATTATAAATTCCATGCAGATTTTCAATGCAGACAGGTGTCTCAAAGTATGGAGAATGGTGTTAAAATGTCTTCCATTCTAGCCAATGAATTCATATCACAGGCAGACCTACAACACCCGCGCAAAATAAGTATATTACTTTAGGTGTGTGTGGGTTATCCTACAATTTTTTGTTCATTGCGCAGTATTTTTTGATAAAAATTTTGAATTTATTATTTTATGTTCGTTGATTTTTTCACAAATGAAACAGTAAGTTTCATCAATTCATAAGCATTCCCTTTACTTACTAATTTTAGTGATTCTCTCTTCTCAATGTATTCAATTCATCCTAGTATTTCTTCTTCTTCTCCTTCTTCTTCTTCTTATTATTATTATTATTATTATTATTATTATTTCGGCTCCCGTTGTTTTGTTTTGAGATCAAGTGACAGCAATGATCATTCTCGGTGACACTATTTCTGGAATTCTTGAAATTTTTATTATTATTTTTATTATTATTAAAGTGGCTAGAAATATTAATTAGTCCGTTAACGTTATGTCATCATCATCACCATTATCGTCTATAGCATTTGGCACTGAAAAACAGGCTCATGGTAATTGGTCCACTTTGTGGGTGTGTCGCGTAATTCAATAACAGTCTGATACTTGATAAAGAAATTTGGCTTATAAATATATAAGATGAATGTCTGAAAGTAATTTGATTATGAACCAACCTTTGTCTTTCTCGTTTCCCTTTCTTTCTTTCTTTTTTTTTTTTTGCTCCAGCTTTTCGTTTATTTTTTTTATCATTGTCATCTGCACCCAAACTGAAAATAAAAGTAATATTTCGTTTCGTTCCTCAAATGAATAAAACGATACAAATTACCACTAAAAAATAAAATGGTCAGGTGGCGTTAAACCGTTTCAAACCCGACACTACATTTGCGTTATTTAGATTTCTGAAATGAAAACAATGCGAGGATAACACCTACATTTCCTCTCAACAAAAACAGTCAGCACACAGATAGTGGGAGGACGAAGTGGTAGGAGTAGATAAACCTGTGAGAGTGGGAGACGTTCTAACGGAGGAGAAGTTAGAGGAGGAGATTGCGCTGGAGAGAGTGAAAATGGTAAAGGCATTGTTACATTTTCTAAGAAAAGAGGAAAAGTTGGAAGGAGTAGATAGAGAGTGAGCGAGAGATAAAGATAGGAATACAAAGAGAAAAAATGCAACCAGAAAAAGAAAATTAATATATATATATTAAACACTGACAGTGGTGGTGACAGTAGCAGAAAATCCTTAACAAAGTGAATGTGGAGGGGTACGAAAATAGGAGGAGAGATGGAAGAGAGAATGTAACGGAAAAAAGATGAAGAAACTTATAAAGGTATTAAAAGGAGAGGTAATAGTAGGAGGGAGAGTACAATGAGAAGTAGTAGGAGGAATAGAAATGTTGGGAGTAGTAAAAGGAGGAGTCTTACACGGAGAAGGAGATGTATTTTCAACAGCTGCTGCTGCTGTTCTTAGTGTTGTTGAAATTGTCGGTACAGATAGCGGTGGGAACATAGGTCCCGTATATGTTTAAGACCAGCAGCAACAATAGTCGCTTCGCTGCGAGTAAACGCTTCTTACGGCTGCGGTTAAATCGGCCATGGTAGTGAACACCAAAGCAGCATTTATTACATATATTAACAGTACTAAGGAAAACGTAACTTTGAGCAGTTACAATAATACTAAAGCTAATCTTCGCAAGGTTCGAAATATTAAACGACAAGTTTCTGTCCATAAATCAAACGCTGCCGCTAACAGAAACAGTAAGAATCAGTTTCGTGTAGTGTTTTTAACGAAAATAGGGAATCGTCTTCCAAAATCCGAACGCAGAAAAGCATTGTTTGGAATTTTCTGGACAGGATTGTGCTGAAGGCATTGAGAGAGCAATTACCAAGACTAGACAATGCCGTCCACTTTGCACGCGTCGCCGTCCGAACCTTGGCCACGAAGCGACGGCTTACCTTTACAATCGCCACCACATCAAACGTCACCATCCCTGCCTCCCCAAACGGCTCACCTTCATCACCCACAAGCACAGCATCTAAGTAATAATAATAACACCAGCAGTAACAATAATAATCTTAATAGTCAAAGCAGTAATGGAACGAATGGCGGTAGTGTGAACAGTCCGGGATCAACTGTCAATAACAACAGTGCACATCTCAACAGTAACCATCATCAACGCCATCACCAACAACAGATGCAAGAACAACAACACCAACAGCACCTTCTCTCGCCAGTACACTCTCAAAGCCACCACCACCTCCAAGCACATCCATCCCCGCAACAACAACAACAAGCTAACCCTCAGACACACCCTATCCAAGCCCACACCACACTCCATCAAAACAACAACAGTCACCAACACCCGCACCCGACCGCCACAGGTGTGTCTCCGACGGCACACCTTCACCACAACCCACACGCACCCTCACACCATCCTCATCATCACCCACAACAACAACACGGTATTACTCAACAACAACCACAGCAACAATTACCAGCACACCAACATCACACACTCGGGCCACAAGCGCACCATCCCCTCCACCATGCACATGCTCACCACCAACAACAAACGCACCCGGCCGAAATGTCCCCACCAGGGTCGGGGGTCGGGATAGCACCAGGAAGTTTAATGAATAAACACTATGCCCAAAATGGACATGGCATTCACAGCCCGGCTTTGTCACACCTTCCACACAATCATCAGTTCAACGAGGCTGCCTATTGTTCATACTTACCGAATGGACTGGATTCTCGTCTTGCCACTGATCCGTCGCACACCAATTCTATGATACATCAACTGCACCAGGCGGCGCCATCACCCCGGAGCCCAGCCGATGACCATAACTCAGTTTTCTATCCATGGATGGGCATTGTCGGTAAGTCAGAAATGATAACAGATTTCTTTTCCAGGGATCATCACACAAATTGCATACAACTTGAAAAAATATATTATTTTTAGTAAAAATTATTAGGAAAGAAAGAGTAAACAAAATAAACAAAAAAAAAAAACATTACAAATTCCTGTTACTAAATAATTCATATATGAACCATGTGCATAAAAAAAACTTATAGAAATAGGTTTATGAAGCACAATTTGCCTATCGATCAATCTTTTGCGTTTATCATGAATATGAACACGTCTCTCTCCATCAATATATTTTTCGATATCTGTCAATGGTCTGGTAGCCAAGATGGTCGCGTATGTGCATCTGAGCACAGGTAGTGAGCCACGTGTTCGAATGTTCATTTTGAAGGTAAGCAAACCCATTCCACTAATATTGATGCAATTTTCCCTCCTCTCTAACAGGTATTAAATTCGTTTATTGCTAAATATGCGGTGTCTACAATTGTTTAATAATATCAATGATTCATCTAGCTATCAATCTCTTTCCTTAAGTGTCTACTCACCTGGCCAGCAGTCCTCCAGGGTTTGAAAGAAGAAAAATAGTTCATCACTGACAACAGAGAAGTGTTGCTATTCAGAAAAAAACTAAGATTTGTTAAGTTACTTAATGCGATTAATTTATTCTTCACGAAAATCGAATTCATTGCTTAGATGTTTCCTCTGAAAATTGTAAACAATACCAGTTGTAACATTGGGTAAACTTGCGATGAAAATAAACAGATTAAATGTTAATAAAAAATGATATAAGTATATCATACTGGTAACGTACGACTTAGAAAAAATCTAGGCCCTGATAAGACATCTTTCATAAGTAATTTTGTGTGTATGTTTACAGTACACATACATATATTAATTTATTTGTTTAAAAGATATTTTTAATGGATAAATATTTGAATAAAGAGACAATCTGATTTTATTTATTTATTTAAACTGAATAATGTTTAATAAAAAATATAAAATATATCTGTTTTTATTTACTTACTAAAGATTGTTTATTAAATAAATAAAAAATAGGAATCTATTCCATTAAAATTAAAGTTTAAACAATTAAATTAACCATATGTGTGTGTGTAGAGAGAGAAATGAAGTACACAAATATATATATATATATATATACATATATAATATATATATATATATATATGTATGTATGTATGTATGTATACACAACCATAATTATCTATCTATCTATCTATCTATCTATCTATCTATCTATCTATCTATCTATCTATCTGTATGTCTGTATTTTGACAGTTTATGTCTATTACATTTACATATATACCGGAAAATAAAATTAATTCGAAAAACACAACAATACATCAATTACAACCCTGACTATTATACCGTACGAGATCGCATATCTACCCGCGTAGGTAAATAATTTTATACGGAAGATAAGCATGTATATGTACTTACATTTCCTTTTGAGAATTTTAGAAAAAAACATTCAATTTTCTTTATTTGAGAAAAGATTTTATAATTTTATAAATTAAAATCTCTTATACACAAAAGTTTGACATGTGTCTATGCAGTTTTTTTTTAACTAAATTAAATCTGATCGAATGAAAGTAAGTACTGATTTTAGAAAATTACACAGTCCGTGACGGTGTGTTTAATTTTCTTTTAGCCAAAAAATGTTTCCATGTTAACATGATGCAACCAAAATGAACACAATATTGGTCTTTATTTTCCATGAAACTTATTCAAGTCATCTTCATGAGGGTTATACGAACAAACAGAAACAAAATCACCACACATTCGGATATATATTTGTATAATTATATATCATATAAAAGATTAACGGTTTTTGCTTAAATAACTAAATGTTGTTTACTGATAAAAATTTAATTTAATTTATATAGATATATAAATTTAATTTAATATTTTATGTAAAAGTGGAAAAAGTACTTGTGACGCGTTTCGTCAGCTGAAGTCCTGAAGGATGAAGCGTGTCATAAGTAAACTTTGCACATTTTGTCATACAATTTCTCAAATTAATCTATCTATCTATCTATCTATCTATCTATATATATATATATATATATATATATATATATATATATATATATATATATATATATATATATATATATATATATATATATATATATATATATATATATATATATATATATATATATATATATATATATATATATATATATATATATATATATAAATACAAATGTGAAGATATACATATTATTAGACACTGTTTAATAAATTAAAAAAGTAAGAATTGCTCACTGTAATGATGTTTGAATATATATATATATATATATATATATATATATATATATATATATATATATATATATATATATATATATATATAAAAAAATTCTCGTCTATAACGGATTATAAAATTTAGAACTAATCCTAATGCAATACTGTTTAAACGCTTTTTATCTCTTTTTTACAATCGAATGATTAGCGTATGATGAGCATGTATCTAGAGCACACGTTAACTTATAATAGGTGATTTCTAGCCTTGTATCTCTCGATTAAATATCTATGACTTTTTATTTTATAACCTATTTTCTTATTACCGTTGACCATCTCAAATATTCATTTTATTCCTGTTTTCTCTAAATTCGTCGAGTTTTACGATAGTTTTATAAACTAGAAATTAAATTACCGTCATTCATTTTCATTTTTTGTGTAACTGCATTTCAAAATTTCTATATTATTAAATATCATATTAATGGGGTTTAAAATTAATCTTTGTCATTGATCAATTTCGCTGATAAAGAAATATTTCTTTTGAATAAATCTGCAAGAAATTAAATTCACGGCTGGTTCATCTGGATAGCGTTCTATAAATTTTTACAAATAAATATGATTTGAAAAAATATTCTAAACTTAATTAATTATATCAAATTAATAAACTTGTGAAGATGAAATGAATCGAATTCTATCCCGTTCATAGTATTCCCGCGTAGAAAAAACATATTCATCGTAACCTATTTTCATATAAAGTAAATCCTGAAATAATTGCCTCCATTTTAGATTATTTAATTACAATATCAACTTAACTAAATAAACTTTCTATTATGCAAATAATTCTAAAATATTGGTTGGTTACAAGTCAAATTTGTTTAATAATATTTTTTCACCATTATTAAATAAATCTCAGTAAATGAATACTGGAAACTTCAACGCCAATTTATTTCAAAGTTAATTATATTTGATTAAAGTTAAACGCTAAATTTACATTATTTGTTTATAGAGTAAAAAACGAAGTTGTCTTTCATAAATAAAGATCGCATTTTTTAATATGTAATAATTTATCTGCATAATTACAGTTAAACAGTTTACTTTACTAATAAAAATTCTCTAAAGACATAATAGGTTTTTTTGTTTGTTAGAGTAAAAAAATGTTTTATTCGAATTTCATTTCGGTGATAAAAGCTTCGATATTGTTATTATTACTTAATCTTTAATCAGTCATTTTCTTATAGTTCCTTATTGTAGAATTATCTTCATTCTTCAATAATCAAATTTAAAAAAAAATAATCTATGGATCACCTTATGAATAAAGAAATAAAAACGGAAAATTAGAAAAACTTTATAAAAAAATAACCTGCTTAGAAAATATATA